TGAATTAAAATTGAATTGAAATTGAATTGAAATTGAATTGAAATTGAATTGAATTAAAATTGAATTGAAATTGAATTGAAATTGAATTGAAATTGAATTGAATTAAAATTGAATTGAAATTGAATTGAAATTGAATTGAAATTGAATTGAATTAAAATTGAATTGAAATTGAATTGAAATTGAATTGAAATTGAATTGAATTAAAATTGAATTGAAATTGAATTGAAATTGAATTGAAATTGAATTGAATTAAAATTGAATTGAAATTGAATTGAAATTGAATTGAAATTGAATTGAATTAAAATTGAATTGAAATTGAATTGAAATTGAATTGAAATTGAATTGAATTAAAATTGAATTGAAATTGAATTGAAATTGAATTGAAATTGAATTGAATTAAAATTGAATTGAAATTGAATTGAAATTGAATTGAAATTGAATTGAAATTGAATTGAAATTGAATTGAAATTGAATTGAAATTGAATTGAAATTGAATTGAAATTGAATTGAAATTGAATTGAAATTGAATTGAAATTGAATTGAAATTGAATTGAAATTGAATTGAAATTGAATTGAAATTGAATTGAAATTGAATTGAAATTGAATTGAAATTGAATTGAAATTGTATTGAAATTGTATTGAAATTGAATTGAAATTGAATTGAGATTGAATTTTAGTATTGAATATTGCTACAGTTGGTTTGCCATACTACAGTTGGTTTGCCATATATGTACAAGTGCACACGTTAGTGGGTAAACCTGGCACAAGTCTCTATCGTGCCGTAGCTTGCAATTCGCAGTAAGAAATTTTTTTAAGTTCAACGAGGGCTTTGTTTGCATGTTCATTATAAACCCTACTAGATTCCAACTTACTGTTTGAGTCCTTTGGTTGACCTTTAACTGGAGGGGAGGGGAGGGGGTCACTGAATGTTCCTATATCCCAACTTTACCTCTTCTATGATCGACAAAAAGAAAGACATACAGGTAATGGGAATTCTTTTGGTTTATACAGAGAGAAAATTAAAATTCTTAGAACCCCAACTCAAGGTTTTTATTGAGGCACTCGACTTTTAGACCTCTTTCTGCTATTTTCAAGTCGCTAAAAGAGCTTTCCTCCATTTTTTTTTTTTCCTAATAAACGGATCCTCTTCAACTATTTACCCGAGATGATCAGGCCAACCTATTTTTTTTGTTTACCATTCCCGACAACTATGCGCCATGTGAACAAGTAAGGAGGCGAGGAGGCACCCTTTTTTTCGTTAAATAAAACGCATATATATATATCTATACCCAGGTACATTGGCAACTGGCAATCACATTAAAACATCATTGTACAGGGTGTTTGACCTTAGAAGAACTAAAAAAGGTAGTTGAGTTGCATTACATACATTTTATCTCCTTTGTTTAACATATCTTTCGGATTTTTTTCGTTAATTGCCTTGCTATAAAAGGGAAATAGGAAAAACTGTTCTTTTCTCAACGTTGGTAGTGAGTTCCAAAAAGCTACTTGAGTTTAAATATTACGTTTAAAGATGGCGTTTTCAATATATTTGATGCAGAAAATTTCTCTTCACAGCGCTAGGAGTACATTCACATGTTTTTAAGTTCTGATTTTCGTCACCATTACATGTTTTTTGGCATTTACAGTGGCATCCTCCGGGGTTAGGCCAGTGAACGGTATAATTACAGTGTATGTGACAATCACATTTGCACTCCTCGTGCACTATCACGGGAACGGTGAGTCTTCCCGAGTCGAAGTTTTGCACGACGACGTCAATTGTACGGGTTTTGGTCGGTGCGCAGTTCTGCCGAACCTGAGGGTCACAAGCCCCTTGGCAGCGGTTGACCTGTACAAATTGGGGTCGGTAGGGCGCGTTGCCTGTTCCATCTTTAACCGGTACAATTGCTGGGTGAAGCCCGCAACCAATCTCGGGTAGCTCCTCCACAACTAAAAAAAGTGTGGAAGCAAAGAAAATATTCAACATTTATCCCGAAGACTAAAACAAAATATTACTGAGATTTCTGCACATCTGAGGTAGAAAATTAACGATAACAGTGGCTTCGCGATAGGAAACACTTTTGTACCTCAACGATTTACCGCTGACCACGGATGTCTACGCATAAATTTAACGTACGCGCGTGCGTAAGTTTTTGGCGCACAAAACGGATTTTGAGTCGTTTGCATGGTCGACTTTCTATTCTATTGCTTCGAGACGTTGCTTTCCTTGTCGCTATTCTTTCAGAGGATAATCTCCAAAAACCTTGTGTACACTCTAAATATTTTCAAAAATGAATTTTCTCCTTATAAATTTGGAAATGGAGCAATGCCTTCGACGAAAATAGGATGCTTTGGATTTAGATGCCAGTCCCTCATTATTTTTCGCGAATTTCGCTTAATTTTGAACCTCGCACGCTTGAGCCCGCGTTGTTGACCAGTACCTTTGACGTAGCATTTCGTTATTCTGCTCTGTGTACCAGGCCGGGGTAGCATTTAAAGATTAAAACATAATGAATGAGCACCTTTACCTCTCTTGGTTTGTTTGAATGTCTTGTACCAAAACCTCTCTCTTTTTGCCATATCGTTTATTTCCACATCCTAAAGGCAGAAAAAAGTGAGAAAAGAGGCTTAAATATGTCAAAATCGTCTATTTACCGTATCTTAAATTTGCTCTGCACTTTAGACTTATTAAAATCAACCAAGATAAATGCTGTTAGACCTTTCATCTTTCTCTGTTCTCAGAAAAGATAAATTCTCACCATCAGGCTCCTCTCAATTGTTGAATTCCAAGATGGCGACTATTACTTACGTCTTTAGTTTCCTGCTAAAAATGGGTGGTACAGTTGGATACGAACGAAATTGTTTAAACATATCTTTTGCGAGGAATTTTCCATCACATTAGTCGGCATGCCAGGTGCTCCCATTTATGGAGTTTATCCTAATATTCTGTAGCAAGTTAGTTGCGCTAAAAAAAAAATTTTGAGTTCTACACTGCGCCGGTAAAAAAATAACAACGGCGTTCTCACACAATAAAACGATCAACTTCAGCGGAAACATTGTGCAAAAGAAGAGTGCAAGTTATTCTGCCGAAAGAAACTGCAAACAGCGGTAAGATCATCACCCTCTGAAGCTCCAGTTTTTAAAATGCAATGTTTTCCGTCCCATTTAAACGCCAAGCCAGAGTTTTCAAATCTTATACTCAAAACAGCGCCCGGCTCGAAATGTTTCGTTTTCTGTGGATAATTCATCTGAGTTCATGCAGCGAGAAGACTTAACTCAAGGAATCAAAGTTACGTCTTTATATCTACCCGAAGAAAGCTTAGATTGTTACAGCTTCCTTTTACACTTTTGAGCTGAAACAGAAATAACCCGGCACACATCACAGGAAATACATTTAAACATCATACTCGTTTATAGCGAAGCGGGCTAGGGACCAATGAATATTTACCGCCTGAAATGGGCGAAGGGGGAGTTAGGAGGACATGACCAAAATCCTACGAACCCCTTCCCTTCCGCGATGAGTAATGAAACGAAAGAAATTGATTTGAATTGTTGACTTTGTCTAAAACACGCCATTAAGCTAATCTTTTAATCGATCAAACGCAGCTTGCTACAGGTTTGATAACTTTATGTGTTGCTAGGAAACCTTTCAACTTACGAGGGAAGTCCAGTTTTTCATAACCAGAGCGTTTTTTTTTTTTTAACCGGAGTCGCGGTGAAATTTTATAACTCTTTATCAGACGAATTACCCCCTACTTTAAGCTAAATTTTTAATGATCGGAAATTTAAACCGGAGGTACGTGGAGTTAGAAAATCAATTTGACATTTGAGGCAACTAATAGAGACAAATATTTACAATACTTCTGTCTCTTGATCAATTTCCGAAGTTTTATCTTTGCCTTCGATAAGCAATAAATTAACTTTAACACCAACAAAAGACTGAAGAAGCCGACGAAAAAGCAAGGGAGCCATTCAAAAGGGGAACAATCCTTTGTTTATTTCACGACAACATCTAACAAAAGAAATATTAAACACGAAGGCGCGCTATAAAAGGAGCCTTAGGTCCCACTGGACAATTTGTCAATAAACCGTCGTGTGATGCAGAACTCTTAGAGTTAAGTCAGCTTGAGCTACAGCTACTCCAAAGCAGTGAGCAGCGGGCGCATTCCTCAAAATTGTTTTATGTCTTCATCATAATTCAAGAATTTTTGAGATTTGTATTTCCTTTCTCCAATGGAAACTATCTTTATTTGTGGAGGTAACTTTGAGATCGAAGCAGGTGATTCGCACGTTACCTCATGCCACCATGCTGGTGGAAGTAAACAATAGATATCTCATTAGCTCGTTTTGTTCGCCTACCAGCATTTGAATTTGCCCCGCACACGTCAACGGTGAGTGACAAATGAGCCTAGGTCTTCCNTAGTGGATGTTTTTTTTTTTTAGACAATCGCGCCACGGACTTCGCCGAAAAAGCTGGGACTGTTTGTAGTAAATAGTGCAGTTGATTTTGCTTTTAAACACGAGGGCGCGCTATAATGGACCATTTGTCAATCAACCGTCGTGTGATGTAGAACTCTTAGAGTCACGTCAGCTTGAGCTACAGCTACTCCAAAGCAATGAACATGCAGCGGGCGCATTCCTCAAAATTTTTTTATGTCTTCATCACAATACAAGAATTTTTGAGATTTGTATTTCCTTTGAGTTAAGTCAGCTTGAGCTACAGCTACTCCAAAGCAGTGAGCAGCGGGCGCATTCCTCAAAATTGTTTTATGTCTTCATCATAATTCAAGAATTTTTGAGATTTGTATTTCCTTTCTCCAATGGAAACTATCTTTATTTGTGGAGGTAACTTTGAGATCGAAGCAGGTGATTCGCACGTTACCTCATGCCACCATGCTGGTGGAAGTAAACAATAGATATCTCATTAGCTCGTTTTGTTCGCCTACCAGCATTTGAATTTGACCCGCACACGTCAACGGTGAGTGACAAATGAGCCTAGGTCTTCCCAGGGAAGACTTCCTTATATAGCGCGCCTTCGTGTTTAAAAATTGGATTTTCATGGCTGTCATAAAACTGTTTCTCCAGAGCTTCTTAGATCAAATTGAAAGGCGTAAGATAACAAAGAAATATGGATTATCATAAATTAGGTACACAATACTCAGCATTTAACAAATGTGCGCAACAGGTGTCCTGATAAAAACGTTTAAGTTGGAAGAGTGGGCAAGTTTCCTTTTTCAAACGCACTCGCGAAAAAGATAAATTTTTTCTTTAGTTCAATTTTCTTTTCTTTTCAAGGTTGAATTTTTTTCTCAAACGAATACACCACGTGAACCGATTCACTAATTGACAAAGCTTAAAAGCTGTTGCTACAAAGTGACCGATGTCTGGTCCTAAAAATGGAAGAAAAAAAGCCACGTTGGACGAGATTATTTTGAAGAAAATGCTAATCCTTTACTCACCCTAAGAGAGCTTCTTTTTCCAAAGGTTTTTGGCGCAAAAATTAGCGCAAAGCAGAGGGCCCAATTGAGGAAAGTCTGAAAAATCATAGTTTTGAACGTCAACGTGGTATTAGACCGAATGAATCCTAATTGAATGGATGTACGGTCCTTATAGCTGCTTAATATAGTCGTGTAGAAATTTGAGTAAAATTTTCCACGTGTTAAAAGCTGCAAACAGGCATGCTTACCTCAGACAAACGGCGCGCTTAGATAATTGATCTACGCCGACATTAATTCTTGCAATATATAACGACATAATTAAACTCTTGGTCTTAGGTCTAAGAATCATCTTTTTTTAAAACTTGAAATAGATTATGGCATAATTATATGATTATATTTTTCAAGCATATGTTCGATATGCTTTCCATTTAAGCTGAATCTATAAACTACAAAAGAAAGTTTTAATCAAGTTTTGATAAACTACATACTTTCCTTTCGACGAACGTTAAAGTCGTTTCTAAGGAGCCGGTAGTAGTTGACACCTGGTTTAGAGGAGTCTGGTCTAAGTTAGTTAACCAGCTTTCCAGAGTCAGTCGTTGAAAGTAGTTAGTGCTGTAGGTTAGGCATTGCGCAGAGTCCCAGTCAATATTGTGGTTCGTAAGTCGATGATAATGTCTCACGAACATTCTATTGACAATAACCATTCACTTGACTCTGATGATGACTTCCACAGAGGTTGTCGAAACGTCAGTCACCACTACCATTTAATCATTTGGAAGAAGTTTACGGAGCTTTAGAGAGAGGGTATAGAGAACTGCGCCTAAATCGCAGTTTTTGTAATCTATTAACATGATCAAAATATCTTTGAAGTTCAAAGGTTTTTGTAATTCATCTGAAGGGGCGGAAGAAAACGTCCTCGAAATAGCAAATTGAAAAGAATTATGCTGATAAGATTAGACGCTTGGTCGCTGTAGTTGCCCACAAAGACAAAAGCACAATGAAAAAGCGTGGTTAATTTGGATTAGATAAAGTAACATGAATAACAATTGAGCGTCGTACTCGGAAAGTTGGCTAATTTTTTCAGCTGCCCAGAGCGAAACTACTTCCCGAATTAACTAAAGTATTTTGCTGCCTGTAAATTATCGTTCGATCCCGTATCAAGCTCTAAAATGGTTTAATTCTCTTTCATGGCCACAAAGGGTTTCCTCTTCGACTATTATTGACATATCTCCAAGTTAACACGACAGCAGTGAGTTTTTTTTCTTTTAGTGCTTGGAGGAAATAAATGTTCAGTGAAAACTTAGCTGTTTCTTCCTGATAAAGCGGAGGTATTTTTTAATCCGGCGGACCGCGAATCAATTGTCATGACATTCATCGAATACAGTGTTCCTAAAAAAATAATGTAAAAGGAAAATTGTGTCTTTGATCAATGTTTTTTTAAATGATAATCGGAGAGCAGACTTCGTAATAAGCTTGAGGTGCCTTAGGGCGAAAACATTAAGCCACTTAACATTTTATTGCAAGCTGTGCCTCCTAGCAGTTTTAAACGTAATAACTGAAATAATGATCAAAATGGACGATGCATAACAAAAAGCGGAAAGAGAGGAAAAAGGGGATAGGCTTTACCTCCAAGCAGTACGAAACGTAACAAATGAAACAATGATCAAATAAGCAAATCAAAAATAGAGAAGAGAAAAAGTGAAGAAAAAAAAAAAAGAAAAAAAGAGGGAGAGCTGGCACTAAGAGCACACCCTTTCACTCCCTGATCTAATTAGTAATACTCCTTACTGTTTTCCATACATTTTCATGATGTAAGTTCGGATAATTTGGTATTGAATCAATTAATAATCCTCTAAGTTATATATATATATATATATATATATATATATATATATTTGTATTCCTATCATTTGTCTGCTTGATATTTTATTCAAATTGCAAGGAGAAATTTTGTATTGTCACTTTTGGGAGTTAAAACTTCCTGTATGCCGCTGTTTCAAACTGTTACCCTTTTGATTCACGCCTCTTCGCATGTGAAAACTCTTCATCACCGAAGCTTCTGGTCAAACCTCAGCCGCAAAAAAAATTCCCTTCCGACAGCTGTACGTGGTATCAATTTATCATTGTTGTAAGAGAATAATATAAACGTATTCCAGTTTCGCAAACTCCTGTAGTTTGAATAAATTTAACGTTGGAAGAAGTGTCTTTGAAAGTTTATTTCAACTTATGCTGAAATTTAACATTAGGTTTTAATTTATAAACCTTATTTTGACCATTCGATAAAGACCCTCTTACTAAAATTAGACTAAGAATGGTCCCAGAAAATGTGGGAAAGGAAGTTAAGAGTGTAATTTTCTGGCTGCATGCTGCATTTGGCGTGAGTTTTTGAATTTTAATCTTTGCTTGGCAGTTTCTCAGTAAGGGACAATATTTTGTCAAGAGAATTTGACTGAGGAAAACTTCCGTTTTAAATTTAAAATCAATTTAAAAGATAAAAAAAATTAATTATGGTTTAGAGTCACTCCATATTACGTTGGCACTCATGTCAAAATTTAAAAATTTCCCGAATATCAACGCTTCACTTGTCGATGGAAGAGGGAATGACACCAAAGGAAACTCGTACCAGCTCTCTCTCGTAAGAGAAATCAACAGGATTTCTTTTGGGAAAGCTGTGACGTTTCCGAAAGTTTCGCACATTCGAGGAAGCAATTGATTTCATAGCCCTAATGGATGTTTCGGTTTGTGTTTCCTTCGCCACTCAATTTTTTTCTATTTTATCCGGCTAAAAACCGCAACGGTGATCACTTCAGAGCAAGACTGCGCGCTCCAATAAGTGGCCTGAGGCGAGAGTGATTTTTTAGGCAGAGTAAGACTGGGGAGAAATGCCACAGTCTTCCTGTTTATGTTCGTCGAGCTGCTTGTTCGTCGGCGATGTTATGTAAATGTTTTTTTGCCCGAGAAAAACAATATGAACTGTGTCGCAGGAATGACAAAGAAACAAACAAACAAATAAACTGTTAAACAAAAGCAACAACACTTGATGATATTTTGCAATCTAACAGCTGTAGTGGACATCGATCATTTCGCAAATTTCGCTCTATTATCACTTATTTGGAGCTTATGGGCTACTTGAGGTTTAAAAACTGAATTTTTTGTTTTAGAAGTGGGTAACAATTCCGTTTTTTCAAATCTCTTCCCATGTCTTATTAAAACAAAGATGGCGTCAACATTTCGCGCCCACTTCTTTTGGATTGCGCAATTTGTTGATATCCCATAGTGCCCTAAGGCACTTAACGAGTTGGACAAGAAAACATGGAGGATTTGGCTGTGGAGGTGTGCGGAAAAAATGGGGCTTATTATAAGGTAGGAGCCATGAAATGAAAATATTTCTCAGCGAACATTTTGAATATTCATGACACTTTTGTTTCCTAGGGTTATGTGAGAAATATTCACCAGGATCAAGTGACGATCGCTTTTGAACATGAGTACGTATGCAAAGATTTAGGCGGCGCGCGATTTTGCAATTGTTATTTATTGTTTACCTTCATACAGTGCTTATCTTCAAATCCTTGGTGTATTGTTTTCGAACAGACCGAATGACTGCAGGAGGGTTCCTTATGAAGAAGTCCGTTTGCCACCCGCCTCTATCCAACGGTGCGATTTATACGTGGACGATGAAGTTGAGGTCTGTGTAAGGAAAACCTATTTTTGTACGCGAGTCCCATGTGATCGAGTCGCTAAAGGTCACACAGGGCATATACGGACGTAAAGAAAGAGCTTGATTCCTTTTATTCATGGTGTGGATGAATAACATTACATAACAGTGTCCTTAAATCACTTCGTTAGAGGTGATTTTTTCGCAATTTTCTAGGACAATTTGACTCTACAATCAACGTAGCTGTGATTGTGCAATAACTGTTCATTACCTTTATCCAGACCCATTTCTCACATGTGGTAGTCAAAGTCAACAAGTCCACGTGCGATATTTAGCGGCCAGACAGTTTTTATTTGGTTTGCACTCTTGTTTGCCTTCGGATTCATATTTTTGATGGTGACTGTCAAATTTATGCACATATCTCTATTTCCCATGTGCTTTAAACGTCTAGCCGGTTGCGAATGAAAGTAATTCCTTACCTTGCGTCAGTTTTAAAAATATTCTTTTCATGCCGGAAAGAGTAATGTAGTTTTTTGCTTATGAAAGGTTTGTGTATTAGACTTTCTAATGGGAAGTGTACCTTAATGAATTGTTTGTTTGTTTTTTTTCCAAGTCGAAAAGTTAATTTAAACCAAGTAGTAATCGTGGGTTGGACTATTTTTGGGAAAGACACTGGTACACACTGGCTATCTTCCTCTCCCCACTAAATCAGTATGCAATTTCTCCTCATAATTTTAATGAACTATCAGACGTACAGGTTACAGGAATTATAGTAGTGATCATCTAAGATTTATGCAAGGCTGTCAATGAGTTTCAAAGAGGGCAGATAGAAATAGTGGGCAGTCAGTTTAACATGAATGCCATGTTTTTTCACAAGACAAGTTACTCAAGACAGGGAAATATTCAGTTAAGAGGTCTTTGTGAATCAAGCATTCTTTGAATATTGCATGCGCTTGTGAGAAAAATTCTTAATGTGCAACTGATTCAAATTTAAACCTGTCAGTGGTAAATTATGTTTTTACTTCCACTCTGGACCAGAAAATGGCCTAGGTACAAATTTCTGCAACAGTCTTTCAGTAATTATACAATTTTTTTCATTAGAAGTTGTTTTATATACCACTTTCATAAATGGCTGCTGCATAAATATTCTTTTGTTTAAATTTAAATTAGCCCTTCTGGCCTCACTTGAGATAATGTATTCTTTTGAATTTTGTACTGGAGAATGAGGCCAGTTGGGCTAATTTAAATTCAAACTTTTAAGAATTTTAATCCGGCAGCCATTTATGAAAGTGGTCTATGGTATGAAATGAGAGTAGCCTGCCAAGGGTTGCAGATTAGCCAGCAGGTTTGGTGGGCAACTGGCTGTTATTAACCGCTCTGCAATATGTATGAACCCTCAAACTCCCAGAAGTGACTATCATTTAACCTCTCCCATACATTATCCAGCACAAAGTTGGTGAAAGTCCGCAAACTTATCAGGTTGAAGTTGTTATCCTGATTTAACACCAAATTCTCTTAACTACC